TAGACAGAGTCTTGCTCTGTCACCCAGGCTAGAGTGCAGTGGTGCGATCTCAGCTCACTGCAAGCTCCGCCTCCTGGGTTCATGCCATTCTTCTGCCTCAGCCTCCCGAGTAACTGGGACCATAGGCACCTGCCACCATGCCCGGCTAATTTTTTGTATTTTTAGTTGAGACAGGGTTTCACCGTGTTAGCCAAGATGGTCTCGATCTCCTGACCTCGTGATCCGCCCGCCTCGGCCTCCCAAAGTGCTGGGATTACAGGCATAAGCCACCTCGCCCGGCCTAAAATTTTTATTTTTTAATTGACACATAATTATATTATGAGGTACATTGTGATGTTTTGATACAATATATGATGATCAGATCAGGGTAGTTAGCATGTACATCTTCTCAGACATTATTTCCTTGTGTTGTGAACACTCAGTATTTTCTAGCTATTCGAATAGTCATTCTACAGTGCTGTAAAAACACTAGACCTTCTATCTAGCTGTAATTTTGTGTCTCAAATGACTTTGTTTTTAAAGACAGGGTTTTGCCCTATTCCCCAGGCTTAAGTGCAGTGGTGCGTTCATAGCTCACTGCCCCCTTGAACTCCTGGGCTCAAGCAATCCTTCTGCCTCAGCCCCCTGAGTAACTAGGTGCATGCCCCCACACCTGGCTAATTTTTTATTTTTACTTTTTATTTTTTGAGATGGAGTCTCACTCTGTCACCCGGGCTGGAGTGCAGTGGCACAATCGCAGCTCACTGCAACCTCCGCCTCCCGAGTTCAAGTGATTCTCCTGCCTCAGCCTCCCAAGTAGCTGGTACTACAGACGCACCACCACACCCGGCTTACTTTGTATTTTCAGTAGAGATGGGGTTTCACCATATTGGCCAGGCTGATTTCGGACTCCTGACCTCGTGATCTGTCCGCCTCAGCTTCCCAAAGCGCTGGGATAACAGGCGTGAGCCGCTGCACCTGGCGTCAAGTGACTTTTTTAAAATGTGGTTTTTGTAGGGGCAGTAACTCCTCTGGCCATTCCAGGGGTCTTCCTCTCCCCCACTTCCAGCTTATGTAAAACTCTTACCTGTGTGTAGAACATGAAGACAGAATTAAAGGCCTGCCCTGGCATGTACAAGATAATAAATTGTGCTGCCTTTGCCCCCTTTGCCGCTCTTCTCCAATTGAGTTCTGGAGCTATGGTATCCAGTTTCATCAAGCAATACCATTGAGCCACTGCCTTACAAACCTGTTACTGCCTGTGTTGTCGGGATGCTGCTGAAGACATTGTCCATCCTATGATCTTGTGAAGACGTTCAAGAAAAATTTCTTTTTTTTTTTTTTGAGATGGAGTCTTGCTCTGTTGCCCAGGCTGGAGTGCAGTGGCTGGATCTCAGCTCACTGCAAGCTCCGCCTCCCGGGTTTATGCCATTCTCCTGCCTCAGCCTCCGGAGTAGCTGGGACTACAGGCGCCCGCCACCTCGCCTGGCTAGTTTTTTGTATTTTTAGTAGAGACGGGGTTTCACCGTGTCAGCCAGGATGGTCTCGATCTCCTGACCTTGTGATCCGCCCGTCTCGGCCTCCCAAAGTGCTGGGATTACAGGCTTGAGCCACCGCGCCCGGCCAAGAAAAATTTCTTTTAAAGCTAAGTACCGGATTATTATATCAGACTATTTTCTCCCTGCATGTATAAAAAGAGTGAGGTAAAATATGCATTTTCCACTGTGCTTTCACTGATAGGACTATAATATCTGATGACCTGCTTATAGTCTTATTATTCTCTGGATCATCATTTCCTCCTAATCCCTTTCTTCTTTCGTCCTAATAATGTTATTTTCTGTCTTAATCTTTTCCAATAAATCACTTTGAATCCATTTTTAAAACAAGGTAGAGTAAAAATCACTGAAGACCACCGTTAGCCTGTGTCTTTACAGGAGAAGTTAACACAGTTCTGAAGCCGCAGCCTGAACTTAAAGCAAGCTGGAGGAGCCTTCCAAACACATTTATTAATTATTATCTCAATTTCTCTTTCTTAAACTGTTTCATTTGCAAAGCAGATCAGGTATTCAGTCCTTTTTCGGAAGTTGAACGAATGTGTGGGAAAATGATTACGAAGAGGCTACTTCAAAAAGAACCTGTTTCCTCTCAGCATTTATCTTGGGCTTCCTGTGACCCAATCTTCAAGTGACTTTTATCAACGTTATCAGAACATCAGATTGTCTTACCCAAACACGTTTATGGCTCTGACTAAAGAATATGACAGATCAGACATTCCTCTCCACCTGCTCCCCTCCCCCATCCCTTTTTAGAGGGCTGGGGAAATTTTAGTTTTTAATCAAAGGTTTTATTTCTCCAGTTGTGCAAAGGAATTTAACTGGGACTTTACAACTGAATAAAGTATTTCTCAGAGTCGATACTAATCTTAGCAAGAGGATATTGCCTAACCCAACCTAAAAGCAGCAGAGTCATTACAGAAATACTATGTTGGCCTTGATTTCTACCCCACCATGAGTTATGCTACTCACCAGGTAGCCTGTTTTGTTTTTTATTTTTAGAGACAGTGTCTCACTCTGTCACCCAGGTTGGAGTGTAGCGTCACAATCATAGGTTACTCAAACTATGCACCCGGCCTATTTGTGTTTTAGAAAAACAACTGCTGGACCAGGCACGGTGGCTCACGCCTGTAATCCTGGCACTTTGGGAGACTGAGGCTGGCGGATCATGAGGTCAAGAGATCAAGACCATCCTGGCCAACATGGTGAAACCCCGTCTCTACTAAAAATACAGAAAAAGTAGCTGGGCGTGGTGGCATGCACTTGTAGTCCCAGATACTCAGGAGGCTACTCAGGAGGAGAATCACTTAAACCTGGGAGACAGAGGTTGCAGGGAGCCGAGATCATGCCACTGCACTCCAGCCTGGTGACAGAGTGAGATTCCATCTCAAAAAAAAAAAAAAAAAAGAAAAGAAAAGAAAAGAGAGAAACAACTGCTGGAGAGATTGTGAAGGATTAGAGGGAGCAAGTCACGGATGATGGTTGGGAGAACAGATGTTATACACACCTGTGTCCCAGAGGTGGAAAAGGTCATCAGCCAGAGGAGTAACCGCCCTCTCTTCTCAGCTGTTGTGCTTGCACTCGTGATTAGTATAAACTGAGGGAGCAAATGTGTCCCCTTACTCACGTTGCCTGGATGTGCGGTGAGCAGACAAAACATCAAAACGTATTTTTGTTTGGCTTAACTCTGGCTAATCAGGAACTAGAAGGAGTAGACAGCTTAGAGACTGAAAGTTGGAGTAGGAAGAAGTTGACAGGTTGGATTAGAAGATAGCCACTTTAGGCTGGGTGAGGTGGCTCATGCCTGTAATCCCAGCACTTTGGGAGGCCGAGGTAGGTAGATCACCTGAGCTCAGGAGTTTAAGACCAGCCTGGTCAACACAGTGAAACCCCATCTCTACTAATAATACAAAAAAATGAGCCAGGCGTGGTGGCAGGCACCTGTAATCCCAGGTACTCAGGAGGCTGAGGCAGAAGAATTGCTTGAAGCTGGGAGGTGGAGATTGCCGTGAGCCAAGATCTCCCCACTGCACTCCAGCCTGGGTGACAAAGCGAGACTCTATCTCATTTGAGAAAAAAAAAAAAAAAAGAGGCACTTTAGAGAGCCAAGGAGAGGGTGTCTGGGTACTTAGGGCAAAAGCCCAGTTGAGGAAATGCTGGGCATGACAGCTAACTGGGGATTTTAGTACTCCACCTGGGAATGGAACTTCAACTTGAGCTAATAAAGTAAATCTAGAAATCAGCTCCAAGACTAGAGAAAGTGCCTGCTTTGCTCCTAGTGGAAGCTGCTAGGAACTGAGAAGCCAGCCCTGTGTGTCATAGGCCAGTCTGTGCCTAGCTCCATAAGAAAGCTCTGTGTTGTACTTAGCCTTGAGATTCTCATCCTTAGATGATGTGGGCACCCTGAGATTATGTGGAGGAGGGCAGAGAAAAACCAAGGGCAGGGTCAATGACATGGACAGCAACAAGCAGAGCCCCTGTGGCATTTGTAACAGAGGTGACCCTTTGTAACTGTAGCCTAACAATGTTTCAATAAAAGCCATAGATTTGAGCCAAATCATTTTTTGATTCATTTATCCAACAAATAATTATTACCCCCTAGATGCCAGTTACAGATAGTTTATTCATTGGCAAAAGGTGGAGGTAGCTGATTGACAGGAGGGAAAGGTTCAGTCTTGCTGTGGATGTCATATTCCACACGCAGACAAAAGGCGTGTCCCATGAAGCCGGCACGGGCTGTGGCTGAGTTTGCTGCATAAATGTGCTCAGATGACAAGCATCTTAACTTTCACTTAATCTGAAGTTTTCTCACCCACTGTTTTTGTAAGTATCCACCTCAATTTGTGTTCTCATTCTCTTCGGAAATTCAAAGGATTGTTGTTGCGTGTTTGCATCCAGAGTCCAGGACTGCCTGACTGGGAGTAAATGGGAATGTGAGTTACATCTTGCCTAATGAAGCTTACGTGGCGACAGACCTGCCTAGAGTCAGCATGTGTCCTTTCCATGGCCTGCTCTAAATCTTCCTACTTTCCTTTACCATCTGTCCTCACATACAAACTGTAACCCACTACCCATATCCTGTGGCAGACTACAGCTCACATTAGCCATTGAATGCAAATGAGCCTCAATCAAAGAAGAAAGGAAATTAAAATTTACAGTATGTGTCTTCTCCGATTGGCCTGAGAAGCCTCCATGACTCTCATAGCTACTTATTGCCCTTGGCATGCTGGTATTTTATGTGGGCAGGGTGAAACTGGCTGTGGTCAGGGTGAGACTTGAAGCTTTTGATTTGTTCCCTTATTTTGAAAGGGTTAAAAAGATGTTACATGTTTTGGTGTAATTTTAGTACTCGTATTAATTCTGTCACATCTCTGTAAGCGAGGATGAAGAGAGAGTGCTCAATCACTGTTACTAGATCCATATTCTTGCAGAGAACAAGTCTTCAAAAGGCAAGTTTTGATGACGCTTGGGTTTTTTTCCCCTTTTAATTTCTTTTAAATAACAGCTTTATTGAGTGAGAATTCACCTACCAAATTTATCCTTTTAAAGTGTACGATTCCGTGGTTTTTAGTGTATTCATAGAATTGTGCAACCATCACCATTATCTAATATCAGAACATTTTCATCACCCCTGAAAGAAACCCCACCCCCATTATCAGTCACTCCCCTTGCCTCCACACCCGCCCCCCACCCACAGCCTGTAGCAATCAATATTCTATTTTTGCCTCCGTGGATTCATTCTCCTGTTCTGAATAATTCATATTAGTAGAATCATACCATACCGTGGTCTTCCGCGTTCGGTTTCTTTCCCATCACATACTGTTTCCAAGGTTCATCCGGGTTGTGGCCTGTGTTAGTACTTCATTTCTTTTTATTGACAAATAATATTCCATCGTATGGATATGCCACATTTTGTTTATCCATCAGTTGATTGACATTTTGGTTGCTTCTACTTTTTTTTTTTCTTTCTTTGAGACAGAGTCTTCTTCTGTTGCCCAGGCTGGAGTATAGTGGCGCAGTCATAGCTCATTGTAGCCTCAACCTCCCAGGCATGAGCCATCCTCCCGCTTCAGCCTCTCCAGCAGCTGGGACTACAGGCATGTGCCACTATGCTAAGCTAGTTTTTTGTAGAGACAGGGTTTTTCCATGTTGCCCAGGCTGGTCTTGAACTCCTGGCCTCAGGTGATCCTCCCGCCTTGGCCTCCCAAAGTGCTGGGATTACAGGCATGAGCCACTGTGCCCAGCCACTTCTACTTTTTTGCTATTATGAATAATGTTGCTATGAACATTTGTGGAGAGGTTTTTGTATGGACATGTGTTCCTAGTTCCCTTGGGTGTATACCTAGGATTGGAATTGCTGGGCCATAAACTATTTTATCCTTTTGAGGAACTGCCAATTGTTTTCCAAAGTGACTACACCATTTTTCAATCACTCCAGCAATGTAGGAGGGTTCCAATTTTTCTACGTCTTCAGCAACACTTATTGTCTTTTAAATGTTATTTCTTCTTTAATGAAAAAACTTCATTTATGCACGTGGTAACACACACACACACTTACAATGGAAAGCCAAAAGTCTCCAGCCCTGTTTCACCCCTCCTTAGTCCAAGTCCCATTCCCAGCAAACCATCTTCCTTTTTGTTTTTAGTTTTTCCATGACTATCATTATAATTCCAAAGATTTCTTGATTCATTCATTATTGTTTTTTCTTTTTATTATGAAAACTTTCAATTATGTATAAAAGCAGAATAGTATAATCAACCCCCTGTACACATCCCCAGCT